ATTAACTTTATAAATACGCAGTTTGTTAAACCTATAAACTACATGTACAAGACTTGTAACAGGGGAATAAAGAAAAAAAAATGATACAAATCTAAAAAAAATAATCTTTTTTTAACTGTCCAAGAATCTTAACTTTCCTTTATGTGTAAAGTCTTTATATTTTGATCAGAGATTATCGTAAAATATACTGGTTTTTAAAGACCACAGTTATTACAATGTATACCACATATCTGTGAGCTTAACAAAATAAAATTGATTATTGAGTAAATAAATCTTCATCTGTCTAACTATAAACAACTCCATGATGGATGATACCACTTTTCTCACCTGTACGGAAGGTATTCTCTATCCCCCCTACTACATTATTGGTTTTGACCATGAATGACCTTTTGATACTGTTTTACCTGATGATACGGTGTACTTTAATGCACTTTAGTGTACTTGGTGGCTACCTTTGTACTAATGATTCTACTTTCATTGGTATTAGTACACTTAGCGGGACATGTGACCTCATAAATACCTTTATACTGTCTTTCAACAGTAATGTTTTGTACTTACAATAATAATACATGTACTTTGATTTTGAACTTTAAAAGAGTGAATCAGACTAATTATGTAAGAAAGTGCAGAAGTTAAATAGTAGTGCAAATACAATTGTTTGTTGTTAGCTTTAACTTTAAATGGGTAATTAATTATTAAATAGAAGTTGAATATGTTTTGTGTATGATTTATAAATATAGAGGAGAATTATTATATGATAAGTCATGTATTATTGAATTCACAATGACTGTATCAATTGTCTTTGAAAAAGAACTGTATAAATCACAGTCCATGGAAGCTTGTATGAGAAATGGTTCTGTAATATGAGACATGAGAATCATTAATACCAAGAAAAACTGGAAATTTTTACCCCTCTATGCACTTAAAGGGTTTTTAGCTCGACTTTTCTATGAAAAGGGGAGCTATCCTACTCGCCCCGGCGTCGGCGTCGGCGTCGGCGTTGGCGTCACACCTTGGTTAAGTTTTTCGTACCACCCCACTTTATTTCAGAAGTATTACAAGTATGGCTTTGAAACTTACCATACTTGTTCACCATCATAACCTCCATCTACAGACAAGAGTACATAACTCTGTCAAGGTTTTTGACAGAATTATGGCCCTTTTTTGACTTAGAAAGTGTATTGAGCTTGGTTAAGTTTTTTGTACCACCTCACTTTATTTCAAAACCATTGGAGGTATTGCTTTGAAACTGACCATACTTGTTTACCATCACGACCTTCATCAACAGACAAGAGGACATAACTCTGTCAAGGTTTTTGACAGAATTATGCCCTTTTTGACTTAGAAAATACATTGAATATGGGTAAAATCCACTTATTGCCTTAACCCTTTGAGATATTGCTTTGAAACTTTTAATGCTATTTCACATCATTACCCCCATCTGTACGCAAGAGAAGGTAACTCTGTCAAGGATTTGTTTTAAAAATTAAGGCCTTTTATCGACTTAGAATCTTGGTTAAGTTTTTAGTACCAGTCCACTTTTTGACTGAACTGTTTGAGATATTAATTTGAAAGTTGGAATACTTGTTTACAATCATGATTCCCAAACATGTCCAGGAGAAGGTAATTCTGTCAAAGATTTTATTTGAATTATGGCCCTTAACTGTCAATGTTTTGTATTATAGGCAAGCACTAAAAAACTTAAAAAATCTAAAAAAATTCATTCCTATCCACTTGTTCACTTTACCATAAATTATGTCATATAAACATTGCTGTAATATTCAAGGGTATCAAACAACTAGTTCACTTTAAAAATACAGAGATTCTTGTATTGCCTTTTACTGCAAAAACTTTTTTTATTGGCAAGCAATAAAAAAGTCGAGCGCGCTGTCTTACGGACAGCTCTTGTTTTATATGTTTTTGCTTTCCAATTACATGATTGTAGTTATATCCTTTTAACTATGAACAAGCTTCTATGGTGATTATGTTCTTTTGCCATTAGTAGAGATTTAGGCAAGCCAATACAGTCATGCCTTGCCATTGGTATAAATCAAGGCTAACCTATTCATGCCTCGCCATTGTTCTATTTCTAGGCCAACCTATACATTCATGCCTTGCTATTGGTTTATATCTGTTAATGATCTATTAATGTCATGCCATTGGTATAGATCTAGGCCAGCCGATACATTCATGCCTTGTCATTGGTATAAATCTATGCCAGCCTTGCCATTGGTATAGATCTAGGCCAGCCTATTCATTTGTGCCTTGTCATTGGTAGAAATCTAGGCCAGCCTTGTTATTGGTATATATCTAGGCCAGCCGATACATTCATGCCTTGTCATTGGTATAAATCTAGGCCAGCCTTGCCATTGATGGAGATCTAAGCCAGCCTATACATTTGTGCCTTGCCATTGGTATAGATCTAGGCCAGCCTATACATTTGTGCCTTGCCATTGGTATAAATCTAGGCCAGCCTATACATTTGTGCCTTGCCATTGGTATAAATCTAGGCCAGCCTATACATTTGTGCCTTGCCATTGTTCTAGATCTAGGCAGCCGATACATTCATGCCTTGTTATTGGTATAGATCAAGGCCAGTGATTATACAGTCATGCATTCCACTCGGGCTTTATACAGTTGCCTCACTTATTTTAATCTTCACTCCTTGATATGGACACTCTAACAGGTCTGGAACAGTCCATTTTTAGAAATTCAGCTAAAGGTAAAGAAGTACATCAGTTGAATTTATATAATGTACAAGGCCAATCCTGTTTTGAACAACATTTACTGGTTGATAGTGAATATTGAAGAAAATTAATGTAGAAAGTTCATCCATAGTTCAAGGATCATCTGGGTTTTTTTTATCAGACATCTAATACATGCATTTATATAAGTATGATCTATATTGTTCCTTAGCCTGCTAGTGGAAACTGAATTTCCCCATAAAATCAGCAGGAATGTCCATGCTATCTGATCATGGTTAGTGCACTGATCTCTATTTTAGTAAATGCTTATTTTGATATTTTCCCCATAAAATGATAAATGGCCTTATCCAGAGTGAAAGATGGACAAGTCCATTATTTTATGTTATGTGTGGTTGAAAGGTTATCAAGATGACATAATAATGATAAAGGATAGGTGTTGATTTTGTAGTCAACAGGATGTTGTTTGATGGTAATTATATCTTACACTCCTCATTCTACGTCAGTAAGCCATAAAAAGGCGAAAATGAATTTTACTATTTATGGTTTCGTCTACGAATGAAACAAAAACAGATTGTTTCTCCTTTTTAGCTCTACTCTTCAAAGAATAGAGGGAGCTTTCCAAGTCACCTAAGCATAATTTGGCATCAAATTGATATTTCACCTGTTAAGGGTTAAGTGTGTTCCTTCATTTCTGATTAACAAATGAAGGTTTTGTATTTTTGAAAGGGACATATAGGGGCTACTTTTGTCTGCGTCGATGGCATCCATTAAGGCTTGTCCGGAGAATTACTCAGTCACTATAAGTCAGATTGACTCCAAACATGGTATGCATGCTTCTTTCAATGACCCATAATGCAGTGCACAAGAATCGTTACTCTGTGGTTCTTAAATTTTTAGTTATGCCCTTTAATAATATTCATACTTTATTTTTGTCTAGGCCATTTTTCCTAAACTATAAATGCTATGGACTTGAAACTTCATAGGTTAATAGATCTCATTAAACACAAAAACTGTTACTCTGCACTTCTTATTTTTTGAGTTATTGCACTTTGTTAATTTTCATACTGTCCAGGCAATTTCTCGTAAACTATAAAAGCTATGGACTTGAAACTTTATAGGATGATAGATCTCATTAATAAGAAGTGCAGTGCACAAGAACCAGCCCTCTGCACTTCTTTTTTTTGAGTTATTGCCCTTTGTTAATTTTCATACTTTATTTTTGTCCAGGCCATTTCTCCTAAAGTATAAAAGCTGTGGACTTGAATTTTCATAGGATTATAGATCTCATTAATAAGAAGTGCAGTGCATAAAAACCGGCACTCTGCACTTCTTATTTTTTGAGTTACCGGGTATTGCCAGTTGTTAATTTTCATATCTTATTTTTGTCCGGGCCATTTCTCATATACTATAAAAGCTATGGACTTTAAACTTCATGGGATGATAGATCTCATTGAGATACAGCGCAATGTTCAAACACTGGTTCTCTGTACTTGATGATTTTTGAGTTATTGTCCTTTTTAAATTTTCTTACTTTATTTTTGTCTGAGCCATTTCTCCTAAACTATTAAAGCTATGGACTTGAAACTTCATATGATGATAGACCTTATTGAGAAGAAGTGCAGTGCACAAAAACTGTTACTCTGCACTTCTTAATTTTTGAGTTATTGCCCTTTGTTAATTTTCATATTCCATTTTTGTCCAGGCCATTTCTCCTAAACTATAAAATCTATGGACATTAAACTTCATAGGATGATAGATCTCATTGAGAAGTGCAGTGCACAATAACCTGCACTCTGTACTTCATGATTTTAGAGTTATTGCCCTTTATTAATTATAATACTTTACTTTTGTCCGGGCCAATTCTCCTACACAATAAAAGCTTTTCAAGCTACATCAATCCTAATGTAACATTGTTACATTCAGTTGAGATGCCACTAAAGTTCAAGGTTCATGTACATTGTAAGAATAAACTATTGTTTAAACTAAATAACCTATTTTTAAGAAGAATATGCCTAAGTGACAGCTGTACTGTTCACAAGGCGACACATCCAACTCGTGGAGTTCTAGTTCGATTTTCAGATGTGTCGTTGGCTACATAATTATTGGTCACTACCCATCAGCTGTTGCTGTCATAGATTTTAAATGAAATAATATACAACTTTGTGGTATCAATTCCTAGCAGAAATTTTGCATTTTAAGATTTAAAGTCAGACAATTATAAAAGTGACATTATGTTAAAGTCAATATAAACTGTTGTCTATAATAACTGCAATATGTTATTTTTGTGTAAACCAGGGTCTATCAAGAACTAGGGATGGTTTGCTTGTTGCAGAAATGGATTTGAACCTATGCCGCCAGGTGAAGGACAGATGGTGTTTCAGAGTAAGATACCTTTAAATAATCTTATATATACCAGTATTATAGCTGTGCTCTTCATATAATATATGTTATTTTGTAATTGGACAAATATAATATACATTTTTCTTTTTCTACACCTCAAGGGCTACTTTCATCCTCCACACATCATATGAATTCACTGTCTTTATTATCAGCTCTCTGAATGTCCTGAAAGAGACCTTATGTCAATGCCAAAATGTTATGCAGTTCAAGAACATGTATTTTATGTAAGAAAATGTAATGTGCATAATAACCTGTAGGAATGTTGTTTATAATGCCAGACTCGTAATTTTTTTGTTAATATGGTAGTATTTCAACTTCAAGATGTAAAGATTCTTATAAAAAACAAGTTTGGTGTATTAAGTAAACATGGGCTCCAACATAGATTTGGAAGGGTTTGGTACCTTTGTATGGGCATGTAATGAAAAGAATAAACTTCAACCTTTTTTACCAGTACTGTTGGGAGTTCCATATGATTTGAAATAGTGATAGGATTTTTAAAACGCAATTTAGATAAGAATTCATAGGTAAAAAAATCAACTTTGACAATACATGTAATTTGTTTTGACTGTGTTTCAGATGACCCAGCGTCTTGATATGTATGCAGAAGAACTTTCAGCAGCTGTTAAACCAGACTATGTACCAGATGTTGTAAAGGAAAAGTAAAAAATGGTAAACCAATCTATAAACAAGTACAGTAATTTATAAAAAATAAGATTATAAGATATCTTTGAGCAAAATGAAATTTCTCTTCATACATTGAGTTTAATGGGCATTTGTCTCTGCACGCTGTAATCATATAGGATAAGTAGTTTGTTATATGTTGAGAAATAAGCAAATACTGGCTAGTTACCTAGGAAACCTGGATAGTTGAACTGGCAACATATGACCAAAAATGTTTTGAGATCGGGGGGAACAATCTAGTGTCATTTTATCCATGTATGAATATAATAGGTAAATAAATAACAAAATTATCTAAATTCAATAATTTGGCCTTGATAGTCAAGGTCATTGTAAAGTCAAAATTAAACTGGTACAATTCATCATTTCGGTGACATAACTAAGTCAAAGTTATTTAAAGGTCAAGGTCATATATGAATTATTTAACATGTTTGTTTGGTCTATAGCATTAGTTTGTTTTAGTATGTAATAATCTGTTAACAAATAGATTCTATCAAAATTTTAACAAGTTTAGTAAAATAAATGATTTAACCTTGATGGTCACAGCCATTTAAAGGTCAAGGACAAATTTGAGTTTATTTCCATCATGTTGGTTTTGTCACAAGTGTTGTTTTGTTTGAATAAAATCCCTAAAAAATAAACAAAAGTTACAGCCAAGATTCAATAAATTAACCTTGTATGTCAAGGGCAAATTAAGGGCCAGTTGAAATTTAATCAAAGCATCTTAGAGGTCTTATCCTTAGGGTTAGTATGCCAAAGTATGAAGACAATCTGAGGATATATTTCAAAGTTATAGCCATTTATAGCAAACAATAGCGAAAAGACTGATTTGATCTTCAAGGTCAGGGTCATTTCAATGTCAGTGTCAAGTTTAGTTTAGTTTTCTTGAAGAACTTGACCTAAAATTGTTGTGACCAAAATTTATCAAAGTTATAGCCAGTTATTGCAAAAATCTAGCAATTAAAAATTTTGACCATCTAGGCCAAGGTCATTTATGGGTAATGGTCAAGGTCAGTTTAATTTTCCATTGTTGTGTCTAAGTATAAAGGTAATCTATTCATTGATAACAAGGTTAAAGCCAGTGGTAGCAAAAATCAAGCAAATTACAAAAGTTTGACATTGAACATCAAAGTCATTTATGAATCTAGTCAGCAAAAGTGCTGTTGTATCCAGTTATAAAGGCAATTCATGTAGAAATAGAAATAACAAAGGAATATGACCAATGTTTTAAATGGCAACAGCATCAACAACAATATGACTGTAGCAATAGCTTATATATTTGATAAATGTAAAAAAAAATCAATTTGCTATAGTTTCTTTCATGTTTGTAAACAACAAATAATTCACTTTTAAAGTTTTAATAATCAATCATTTTACATAATGTTTGTATTCTAAATCATCTTTTGTATTTCAGAGTTATAAGCTAAGAGTTAGTCAAGGGATATAAGAAAATGGTGCTATTTTCACAATACACATACATTCCACTTTTGCCGAGACCAGGAACAGATTATGTTTCTATTTATTTTTGATAATTTGAGTTTGTAACTTTAGAAAGAACTTGTAGATTTCTTAAAATTCAGACAACTACATGTATAAACTAAGATGTAATTATTAATTTTGTTATTTGTTCATGTTTTTCAATAGACCTTGCTAGTTACTGATAATAACTTTTATTATTCTTATGGTTGATTTTACATATTAAATGTACTTTAGCTAGTTAATGAGATGTCAGTGGATATTCCATAGTACATTCTAACCACACAAATATTGCCATAAAAAAAAAAAATTTTTTGTAATTTTCTATTTTAGTTTATAATTTCAAGTATTTTTCTTAGGGAAAAACATACAAAACTAAAGTTTAAACAAACCTTATATCAGGGTTTTTTGGATAAAATTAAATAGAACCAACCCCTAAGAGTAACGACCATTTTTGAGTACTGACTGGGTTAAAAATTTGAATAACATTTTCTGTTTTTGTATCCAGACCCCAGGAGTTTCCATTATTGAACCTATGCTTTAAAATTTTTAATATTTAACCTTATGCTTTAAAATTTTCCAAAAATTTTGGGGTACCAATGTTTCAGGGGGTTTTTCCCGCTTTGTTTTCCTTTTTGGGCCTTAGGCCCCAAAAGGCCTTTTTGGGGACCTTTTTGGGCAGTTTCCCCTTTATGTACCTAGTACTCGGGGGTTACAATTTTGGATTTGTGCTCAAGGTCCATCTCTACCAGAGGTTTTGTTTTGCTGATTTGGTACCCCAGCGCTCAGAATTATCAAAATAAGATATATTTTGTCTTTTTTATAAAAGGTAGGTATCGGCTATATCCCTTATAATTAAAATGTTTGAATTAAAACTGTTTTGTCATTCATTATTGTAATATCAATCTTTATGTTTTTGAATATACATGTATATTTCTCGCGTAATTAGTTCTGGACTATAGAAAATATATACATACTTCAGAATAACTTGTTTTTCTTTGTTTGGTCCAATCAAATTGGTGTGGAGCTCAAAACGCCGTTTAAAAACCAAATAAAAATGTATATTTGTCAATCCCAGCACCATAGCATTAAAAAAAAAAACTTCATATCATATCTCAACGTCTATACTATGATCAGTACATACATTTTATTTGGTTTTTAAAAAGAGCGTTTTGAGTTTTCCACACCTCAAGTGTCTTTGAGAAATGCACCCGAAAAAAATAGGTTTAAAAATGGTGAAAAATATATTATTCTAAAGAAGGCGGAAATTTGTGTTGTTTTGATGCCCCTTTAATAAGTATAAAATATTTTTGTTTCAAATATTTAGTTTTTGTTTCCAAACCTAGCTTTTAAAACATATGCTTTTATAAGGTATTAAAAGGTAATAAAATTACAGAAAACAACTCTTTAAAACAAAAAGGCTTGAATATTTTATAGGGGTAATTATCTGATATTTTGTAAAAACTAACTTTAAATATTTAACTACTTACTACTCGTTAAAAAGTTAATGGTTTGCCCTGTTTTAATTGAAATGCAAAAAATTGTTATTTAAAATATTTTGACGGGAAAGATACATTTTCAGACTGGGATAATTAATGACCTTACTAGTAACCGACAAAGAACAATAAGCAGGTGTAGGCTTGCTTTTCTCATGTTATATTATAACACCCCGGAGTTAGCCCAAAATCATGCTCTTTCCTGTTTCAAAATGGCGCCTTCCCATGGCCCCTTATGACCTATATTTGTTGGTGCCCCGTAAACCAAACACAACAAATGTTAAATGTAGTATCATCCATATGAAATAAATGTTATTTTTAATTTCTTAAGAATTTTAAACTGTAACAAAACATGCATTCCAAAACCATCAGAAAGAAAAATAAATAGCTTTAAATATAAATAAAAAAAGAGAACCGACAAAAAAACAAAAATGATTTAATCAATTTTACTGGAACTTAGCTGAGTTGTATATACCCATACGTAAGACGTCCAATTTTGTTGCTGGGCACCTAAAATAATGTTTTTTTTTACTTTTCCGAAATAATAATTTATTGTTATGACATTAGGGATAAAGAAACTGTGTGTGGTCATTGGCGTCAAATAACAATGCATAAGATCATTATTTCGGTCCCAGTAAACTGTGTTAATATTTTGTAATAGGCTATATTGGAGGTCAGTCAGAATTTCATTAGCCTAATAAAATAAAGTCTAAAACAAGCTTGTTTGTAACGAAATCGATCACGCAATGTCAAAATCTCGTTCATGACAGGTTACAACTGTTATTATTTCTATCCACGTATACAATTAAGTATCCCTGGATTTTGAGCCGTAGACATGTATTATTAGAGTTATTTGCAACGAACTAGTTTAATGACCTATAATACAAATATATACAATCTTCCTCAAAATAGCCTGGTTAAATTCACCCGATTAAATCTATTTTCACGGTCCTGATCCGGGATTTCTGTAATAAATGGACTAGTCCAAACAGAAAAGGTTTTGTTTTGCTCCTATTTGTTGTTGTTGTGTTATCCGGATAGCAAATATTTACCATCACTTATACGTTGTTAGAAAAAACCTTATAGGAAAATTAAAAAAGGTTTTAAAATATTACCCAGAGATCCAAAAATTTTTTTATGCCACCGCAGATCTGCGATCTGCATATAGCGATTCACCTGTTTTAATGGTGTTGTTTGTGTGTTGTTATATAGATTTTTTAATTATTTAAAAAATTTTAAAGTTGGATATTTTGCATAAAATTGTTGTTGTCTAGAAAAGTTGTTAAAATTTAAAGCCCGGGGGTAAAAATTTCCCCGGCCCCGGGGGTCATGATTTCAATATATACATATAGAAAAAAATAAAAAATCTTTTTGTCTGAAGGTACCCAAGGCTTAGACTTTAAAAATTTGTTAAAATAATACATCAAAAGGGGTATCTACCAAAATTGTTAAAATTTTTCTTCTTTTAAAATGCCCCGCCCCTGGAGCATAGGTTTATCCTATATGTATAGAGTTTAAAACTTTATATATTAATCATCTTCTCTAAATTTACAAAAGGAGTAAAGTAAATATATTTTGCATGAAACATTGTTTAGTGGTGAAAGCTCGTCTAGCGATATATTTAAAAATTTATAGCCCTGGGGTCAAAATTTTCCGCCCCCGTGTGTCTTGATTTTATGTATTACATATATGAGAAAAATAATAATTGGTGCTGAAGGGTTCAAGAGCATAGAGCTTTGATGTTGATATATATATATTGATCCCTATAGGTTCCCCCCTCTACCAAAGTTGTTCAAACTGTCAAAAATTGGCCCTGCCCCGGGCAGGATTCTCATTATGTACACGTGTGTTTTTAGTGTAAAAACAGCATAAATAAAACAAATGTTTCTTTGAATGGTTGTAAAAGCTATAGCTTTAGATATTTGACTTGAAATTTGTTGTGGTGGACCCTGTATTCATAGATTTGTATATTAAACGCCTGGGTTCAAAATTATGCCTTGCCCTAGTTCGCGGGGACAGTGACCTACTTTCTTGTCCTTTGATGTACAGCAATGACATTTTGACCATGAGCACAGTTTTAGTTGTAAAATTGAATTTTGACCTAGATTTTGATGATGTGACCTACTTTCTTGTCCTTTGATGTACAGCTATGAAATTTGAACCATGCGGTGGCATAGCATTTTTCTCAAATGCAATCTTGTTTTAATTCTTTAGAAATATCCAACATGAATTTAATAAGTTAAGGTAGCAAAATGTAAACAATTAAGTAAAATTTTGTCACCCATTAAACTAATTTAATTTTATTTTACCAATAATTGTCTAAAGAGCAAAAAAAGCAAATATAGTTCATCAATTTCATCAATATGACAAATGAGCATTTTAAAAAAAAAATGTAACAAGATACAAAAGTTAAAAGATTTTGAGAAATATAAGTGATGCATTTCTGATGCATAAAAAATTTAGCCGTGCCATGACAAAACCAACATAGTGGGTTTGCGACCAGCATGGATCCAAACCAGCCTGTGCCTCCGCGCAGTCTGATCAGCATCCATTCGCTATCAGTTTCTCTACTTGTAAAAGGGTTTGTAAGCGAACATCATGGATCCTGATCAGTGTGCGTGGATGCGCAGGCTGGCCTGGATCCATGATGGTTTCAAACGCACTATGTTGATTTTGTCATGGCACGGCTCAAATGCCTTCAAGGACACAGCGTATTTAAGAATTCAATAAAGTTTTTTTAAAAAAAAGGGAAATATTGAGACTGTTGCATGTTGGAAGATTCAACAAAACACTCGATTACACAGAGCAACAGGATATATGTTAAGGATTTTCTACACCACAATCAACAACCATTACAAAGAAAACATACGAAGATCCCTGTATTATTTTATCACGTAGATTTTACAACAACAAGTTTTATCACATAAATGCAGCAACATGATCAAAATACAGAGCCTTAATTCATATCACTTGAATCACTCCAGTAAATTCCATATTCTGTCCATAAAAATATCAGAGGGTGAATTAAATTGGACACATATCATATATAGATTAAAAGCACTTTTTAAATCAAGGCTTTTTATTGAAGTCAATGCTGCATTCGGAGCATATGTTATACAATGGCATCTAATTTGTCCACTTTTACTGCATTTAGATATGTTACAATGGTTAATAAAACTCTTTACAATAATTTTAAAAACGTGAATGTTTGTCTCCATATGCTAATATCTCTACTGATTTTTAGTCCCACAAATTATTTACAATACTTTTTAAAATTCTATACCTTTGATCAACAAACAACCTCTATCTGAAACAAAAATCACTGTTTCGTCTTTCTCAAAATTTGGAATTAGCATATTTGCGTAAAAAAAAATTATTTCTGTTAAGAAATAAAATAAAAAATAAAAAATATGTTTTTTGAATAACCTTACTTAAGCTTGAGCTTATGGTGAACGGTTAGAACATTTTTTAAATCGAGATGATATCGGACATATTTTGGTCTCGGAATTTTGGAAACATATTATCTTTTAGTTCCCAGTAATTATTCATTTGCTACTTAGACCATTTTTGTTTATAAGAAATTGATTAGCATATGTCCTGAACTTGAATCAGTGAGACAACATTTAAGCTGATAGCCTGGAAC